AAGAAAAAAAGTTTAGATTGCTTATAAGCTAAAAATAAACAAGTTTGGAAAAATTTTTTAATCAAAAAAATTATTTACAAATTCTTGATAAACTCTTTAAATATTTTTTTTTTTTTAATATTAAAGTTTAAATATTAATTTTAAACATACTGTAGATTTATAACTTTTATTAAAAAATTATTAAATGCTAAAGAATATAAATCTCATATCTAAAATTATTTTTTATATTTACTTTATTGAGTAAATTAAAGAAAAATATTTTTTTTGCCAAATTTTACATATAAATTGGGGCGAGTCAACTCATTTGATTTATATTTGACAACATTTTGAACCCCTGTAAAGAGACATGCCTCATGCCTGATATATAATGTTGCGAATGAATCACCCTAATCTTAACCAATCAGATGAATTAATTTCAATTTCATGATCATCCGCGATAATTAATATAGCAGATAGATTAAAAACAGTCTTTTTTCTTTGCCCATTACTACTGGAAAATTGGTCCATTTATAAATTTTTTACATCATGACAACTATTTTGCCTACTCAGCTTACGTGTATGCATAATAAATACTTCAATTTATACCATTTTTGAGGTGTGCTCCTGGTTTTAAAAGTCTAATGTTCTATTTTTCTTATAGATCGATCTTTTAACAATTTAAGCCTGGTTTTGGGGCATCCCACCTACCAAACTGTTAAAAATTTCCAAGAGTAAGTTACCATATTATTTATAATTCCAGTATAATTTAAGTTTTAGTGTTAATGACTTTTTTGTCGCTCCTAGCGGTAATATCAAAACCTTTCAATACAGCAAGGATGGTAGATATATTAGTTTGGCGTCACCAGAAAGGTGATTGATTATTCTTGCAAATATTTGATCGGTCTATCTGTCAAAATTATAATACAAATATTTATTTCAATTTATCGTATCTGTATATTGTAGCGTAAAGATTATAGACTCTAACAATGCAGAGCCTCGTAGCGAAATTGAAAAGAAAAATATTGTTGAAATCGGATTTTCTCCAAAAGGGACATATATTTCCACGTGGGAAAGACCAGGTAAAACGTTTACCAAATTTATATGAAAGGGAATCATTAAATGCTTACGTATGTCACTTACAATTAGTTAAACTATCTGAAAATTTGGTACACAAGAATTTAATCATATGGGAAACAGCGACCGCGCAAATGTTGATTCAATTTACACAAAAGAGTCAGGCAAATTGGTAATAAAATTGTTTAATTGTTGAAATATGATCATTGTGCTTAATATTCTTTCATTAATTTGTATATCTGTTAGGAATGTTCAATGGACTGAAGATGAATCGTTCTTTAGTCGTATGGTTACTGGTGAAGTTCATTTCTACGACAGCAATCGTATTGACAAAATTCATGCCAAACTACGGTTAGAAAACATCGTAGATTTTTCCCTGTCTCCCGGAAAAAATCCATCCATAGCCGTATTTATCCCAGAAAAAAATGTATGTATATTTTATATCACGTGCGATCAACAAGAATAATTCTAAGTCAATCTACTATATAAATAATGCATTGTAGAGTGCTCCAGCATCTGTTCGTATTTATTCGATAACCAACTTTAATTCTCCATTGGCGCAAAAAACTTTTTTCAAAGCCGATAAAGTTCGAATGCACTGGAACGATCTTGGTACGAACTTACTGGTTCTAACACAAACTGAGGTGGATAAGACGAATAAGTCTTATTACGGAGGTAATTGTCAATCTCTTAACACAACAAAAGTTCCTTATCGATAAGAATTGATGGTAACTTAAAAATGGCGCGAACTAAGAATTAGTTTGAACTTGAACAGAGTCCAACTTATATTTTTTATCCGTGGCTGGCAATTATGATTGCTGTGTCCAACTTAGTAAGTATTTAATATATTACCCTTTTTTGTACGTTCTGTATGTTATATTAATTCACGTTCATTATATTTTAGAAAAGGATGGTCCAATACATGACGTCACTTGGAGTCCAAACTCTAAAGAATTTATAGTGGTTTATGGATGTAAGCATTAAATAATTTCAATTTGATATTGCTTTGATATTCATCACATAAATTTTTAACATTTTTGATCCAGACATGCCCGCCAACGCGACATTATTCGATCATCGCGCAAATCCCATACATGAATTCGGCGTCAATCCTCGTAACACTGTAAGGTTCAATCCTCAAGGAAGACATATCCTTCATTTAATTATTAACACATATATCATTTTCTTGATTCATTCGCCCGAGTTTTCAAAAATGTTGAATTCTTAACATCAGAATTCAATAATAATTTACTGATATTCATAGCCGGGTTCGGAAATCTCGCTGGAACAATAGATATTTGGGATCGTGAGAATTTGAAAAAAATATCGACCATAGAAGCTCCTAATTCGTCTGAATGTTTTTGGTCGCCTGATGGACGTTATATAATGACTGCGACTCTAAGTCCCCGTCTACGAGTTGATAATGGTTATAAAATTTGGCATTATACCGGTGTACTAGTACATGATGAGAGTATTCAGGAATTATTACAGGTTCGAAAGTTAATTTAGATAGTGGAACGATCGCGTTTATACTCTCAAACATCCGTCACCTTTGAGGATAGTCGATATTTTATCGCATTTATAGTACTTGGCGGTTTTCAAACGGGTGAACTTATTTAAAATCTTAATAGTTGCCTAAAGTAATGGGTTGCACGTAGAGGGCTATAAATATGAAGTGATGTACTTTATTTAAGCCATTAATTTATGATTATGTTATTGCCGTGATAGGTTCAATGGAGGCCAGCTAGTGTAGAACTATATCCAATGCGTACCTTATCACCACCGCCTAAAGTTTCAGAAGATTCTGCCGCATTAGCTGCAAAACCTTCACGTAATTCGTCGTTTTGTTTATTTACGTAAAGGATATTTTTTTAAACCAGAGAAAATTAATTTGCTATTTATATTTAAGCAGCTAAGAAAGTAGGCGCTTATCGACCTCCACATGCACGTGGTACAGCAACGCCAGATATGTTTAAGGTAGTTTTGTATGATATTTAAATTGAAGTTGGCTATTTTGTTGTTAACAAGTAAATGCATTGGATAATTCCTTATAGCGTGAAGACGAAGCAAGTAAGCGATTGCACGTACATGGTCATGGAAATAAACCGATGCCAGTAGGAGCATTTGAAGGTAAGTTATTTAGAATATCTTATTACTTCCTTTAAACTAATGGTTAATTATTGTTTTATTATTATTATTATTAGTATCTACAAAAGCCGCTGTCAAAAACAAAAAGAAGCGTGAAGCGGCAAAGAAAAAAAAGGAAGAAGCAAGTCTTGCTTCTGAAAATAGTGGTAAATTAATTAAATTTTTTGTTATATCGGTTGCCTTTAATTAGAAAATTCACACTGTCTTAATATCTAGGTGCAGCATCACCGTTGCCACCATCATCAGCGCCAACTCAACAGGTTATTAATAATGGTATAATAGATGTTACTGAAACAGTCAAAGAACCTATAGCATCAATTACATCGACAAATGGAATATCCCAGGGCGGAAGTTTATTATCAGAGACAGATAAAAAGATTCGAAATTTAACAAAGAAGCTAAGGCAAATTGCTGAACTTAAAGAAAGGCAACAAAAAGGTGATAAATTAGAACTGACACAGGTCTGTATGCACTCACCTACAATAAATTATCAGACTGATTTTATTAGTGAAATATATAAAAAGAAAAGTTTACGCTTTAATGAAAGTTTTTAATTTATTAATAACTTATTTTTAATTGAATAAAGGATAATTACGCTCCTTAAAAATAGTTATTATTTTGTTTTTTATAGCTTTCTAGTTAATAAATTGGCCTTACAAATTTCATATAAAATATAAAAAATGTATAGGCAAATTTCTTAACTAGAAGGTTTGCTTATAAAGAATTTTTAGGGAGCGTATTTAATTTTTAATGAGTAAAAGATAAGTTATTAATAGAATGAATTTCTCTTTATATACTTGGCTAAGAAAAGGATCAAAACTATTTAATCATACAGTCCGGTAATTTATTGGGGCATGTGTATAATAAAATTGCATTTACTCGTCGCTAATTCAATTTCTAATACTTTGCAAAAAACAGTTACAAAAAATTGCCACCGAGGCTGCACTACGCAAAGAATTGGACATGCTGAAATCTTAAAGTTTTTTATCAGCCAGTAATCTTTTTATTATAAAGCTTTGGTACTGAATCTTTTGGTGAGACAAATATAGAATCAAATTGCTAATACTTTTGTTTGCTACATGAGGTTAAATATATTTATGCATTCTGCTTGTATATTATAGGGTGCTGTAAGTCTATAGTCTGTAATTATTTGGTTTTGTTATTAGGTGATTATCGATATAAGC